GATCCGTACTTCTCAAACATTACTCAGTTCGTTTTGAGACACCTACACAGTTCTGTTTCCCGCCACATCTAGCAAGTGATTGTGAAGTGAAGGCCTGCAGCAAAATTTTCTTCGTCGCTGCCATTTTAAGAAACTTCTTTGTTGCAGGCATTTTGTGCTAGATTATCACACCGACAAAATGGTAAAAGCGAGCCTGTTGTGAATGTAGAGTGTGCAAGGAGAGCAAAAAAAAAAAACTGTGGTTATGCTGGATGGTTTACCGGAGAATCCATTCACCTACGGCATCGAAAAGGTCGTTGAAGGTGGTAAACTCTCACTCAAGCCCGGAAAATAAGGAAGTCGTGCCTCTTGTAAGATGTATTGTAACGGACCTTCAATAAGGAAAAGTGGACGGAAACAGGCTTGCTTGACTCATTTTCTTAGTTTTCATCATGAAATAGTTATAGTTGTCGGAATATGGATCGATTATCCTTCGATCACGATATTCTAGACAAGTTCATCCGTATTGCGAACATATTTTTTGAGGAAAGGTCAGCTAGATTGGTCAGTGTAAGTGACCTCAATGGGGCTCAGCTGCTTCCACCTTCTCAGTACTTCTGTTTTTAACCAAAATGATGATAAATGCTGCCAATTAGCTGTCGGTCGATGTATAAGATAGTGTTGTCGTTTGTTCTTCCTTGAATGGCTAACCCTCGTTGAACTGTGCTTTCTCATGATTATTTCTTACCATTTAGAACTTCGCTTTTACATGTATCTCAACATAGATCATTCAGAATATGGAAGCCAAATAAAAAATCGTAACTTGATTTGCCAGAAATGTCGTAAGCGGTCAATACTTGCTCGATTCAGAGTCTTCCTATGAATACTCTATATGTCCTTTACAGAGCATAAGCCACGATATTTGCTATGGTAGAGTTCTATCTCTGCGATTTGGTGGATCTGCCTCCTTTGACCGCAGAATTTTTACACCATAAGCCTTATTTTGAAATAAAAAAACACTCGCTCACCGAATTGTGACGACATGTCTTCGAAGAGGCGCATAATCAAAACTATCGTCTACGCTTGCCGCGTTCATTATAGGTGAACTGCTCGGAACTGGATTGCTTAGAGTGCTGAGGAGGTCCGCAGTGGTCTTCAGAAAGCTTCATTGTCAAAATCTAATCAAACACACGTGGAGCTCCGCGTTTCATTCATTGTCAAGCCTACTGGTGTTCACAAACTGCAGATGCCTCCTCATCTAGGTAGTTGTTAAGTGTATTGAAGTTTCCTTATTCTCACCATCACTGTGATCCCATCCATTAACAAATATTCCATCTAATTCGGCAAACCTCTAACTAAGGAAGTATAAAGTTTGAATTTGTGACAATATTTCTCGTTAGTGAACTGCAGCACTGCAACTTCAAAGGCCTCCATTCCAACGAGAGATAGTGAAGCATTTTTGCAGTAGGATGTCGATTCATATATGTATATAGCAATAGACCTGTTTGATCTGGCGCCTCAAACTTTTGGGAGACCGACTCCTATAGGGGAGCTTTTGGAACTAATGCTAACCGATTTGAAGGTTTTCCTGATTAGTCTTCACAATAAGCCAAGGTCTTGCTCATTGAAAAGCACACGCAGGTAAATCCAGCGCCTTACCCTTGCGTTACGCCGCTCCCTGTTGAGATGGAAATTAATTCTGCTCATGAGCAAATACTGATATTGATCCATTTTTTGTCGATTCATATACAGACTTTTCCAAAGCAAGTTGAGTGTGATCATGAAGTCATTTTAATTAGCCAACATCGTTTTATTTCAAGCACTACAGGAGCTGACTCTTCTTTATGACTTTTAACTATCTTGAGTTCTAATTTTATGCCATTTCCCCGTAGACTGTTGTGTGACCACTTGGAAATTATGTCCAGGCAAGAGTTGATAATAGGTTGTGTCACCTCACGCTTCCGCGGCTTTGTGAAAAGCGTTGTGACCGTGAATCCCCCTACCCGTAGGTGTCTCAGGCCATTTAGCCATTTTTCTGGCCACCGCTGAACCTCCAGCAGTTTTGAACATTCACTGCAAACTATTATGCTTGGTTGGAAGTTCAATGATTCCCTAGTGTTACTAGTTTGGCAAGAAAGTTCTTCGACAGACAGGGTTTTTAGATAAATTCGTTGAATTTTCTAAACAGATGAAGTATCACAGATATATTCACATTTTCTGAACTCAACAACCATCCCTCATACAATGAGTAAACCTCGCTGACGCTTTGTTCCTGGAAAAATCTAGGTATAAATTCAAAAATCCTTATTGTCGAAGCCCCTTCCTCGTCAACCTAGAGTTTCTGGAAAACACAACTCAGCAGAGAGATGACTGAAATGATCATGGTTGCTACTTTTGGTTGAAGCACAGAGGTTCTTCGAAGAACAGGTAAGCATTAGGATTAAAGGCAAGTTCACGAAATTTTGAGCTACGCTTTTTAGGTTGAGAAGCGGAAGTATTGATGTAGAAGAGCCTCACAGTGCGAGAACGAGAGTGGCTGAATATTGAACTGAACGATCTTCTTTCGTAATCTCATCCTCGGATTACCACACTTTCTCCCGTCTTCAACGCCATCTGGTTAGTCAAGTCCTCCAAATCTGTGACGTAACATGAGGGCATTGAGCAATTCTTCAAGAACCCGTCTTTAGCTTTTTGGTTCCACGATCCGCCTGAACCTTGACAGAATTTCTTCATTGCTTCGATGCTCTAATGGTTTACGATTATCGTCTAAGACAATCAAAAATACTGCCGATTCGTCACAACTTTTGACGTAAACTAATCAAATATGTCACCTGCATAAGCTCTCCTCCTTGATCATCGATGTCCTCGAGCGGGCCAGCAACGCCTGCGTCGCAAGACGAAGTAATCCAGTGAGCCCTCCTCGCCCGCCTACTACGAGGCAGCCCTCCTTTCGCTCAGAGCCTTCAGTGCTTCGTAAAGAAGTCTGGCCATCCGTACTGGTGTTCATTTGACGTCTCGATTGATCCAGTTAGAAACCCCCACCTCTGTTCCAACGGTCATCACAATAAGGCATGACGAGTACGGCCTACATGATTTCTGATTCTTTGGTGTGAACAACGAAATCCCTGAAGTTCGTCTGCTAACTGACCGAGAAACACCAAATTTCCGTGTACATTTGCTTTCATCGGGACATTTTGAGCATCGTCCTTTCCACAGTGTGTTGAATGCTTTGTGGAAAGGACGCAGCGTGCTCATCCTGCTTTTGTATGATCGATCATGCTAAACGCACTCCGAGACCCTGCTTGCTGGCTGTGGCTGTTCTTCATCTAGTATTCTGCAAATTCTGTTGAGGATGATCGTGTGAAAAGGTTTGGTTCTATGTACCTTCCATACAGCAACACACACTTGTTAATTTCCCACAAGCTAGTATTTTGCAAACCGGCAGGTACCGTGTGAAAAGAATAGCTAGAGTTTGGACTATAATTGGCTTAAGGTTCGCTATGATGTGGTTCAATCTGAAAGGCACGGTTCACGATAAAAAAGGTTACTGAGCTTTTCCTTTAGGTANACTACTGAATGTTTTTTTGTCGTTACTAATGATAATTTATTCAAAGTGATCCTACACTTACGAAACGGCGCAAAATTCAAATATCCNCACAATCTCGGCGCTTAGGGCATAGCGGAAGCCCCGCTGCTGCCGTAATTCGCTTTCCCGCCCCTCGATCGGTGTCACGTTAGACGAGTGTCGAGGACAATTCAGATTGCTATTATTCGTTGTAGGACCCATGCACAATCAGCTAATCGCCGAGTGATTAGGCGATGTTTTTCTCCCATTCTTTTTTCCTCTGTTTTTCTTTTTGCTGCCGCCATCCCTTATTTAATTTCCTACTCCTAGAGGCTGAAAAGGGTGAGCTACTTTTGCTGTCACTAGGGTTTTTAAGTTTATTTATGCTTATAAGTGAATGGATTTTTGCTTACCATTGTCTTTTATTCGCACCAAGATCCATACGCGCGCAGTGAAACACACTGTTTAGCTCGTCCGGACGCCCCACTCTTCTTCATTTTTCTGGTTTCATTCTCGTCCAGCCCCCTTTTCAACGGTTTTTCAAAGCCTTTTTTCACTTTGGAAACACCGATGCACGCATTCTCTTCACCTCAGTCGCACTAGTTTCGATCTTGTCTTCCATTTTTCATCATAATCTGGATTACCCAAAATTATCGTGAACTGTGCCTTTAAGGTGACCTGGCGCCGGACAATGCTTCACCTATGTACTTGATGACATGTCGAATTTTATGAGGAAAAACTGAAGAAACGACATACTCGACATACTAAGATGGTAGGTATGCAGGTAGACATGGCTGTAAAAAAGGCCTGAGTAGAATCCGTCAATGACCTCATTTATCGCCCTCCGAGATGCAGTAAGTGTACCATCACGACGACGAATGGTAGTCATCTTACTGTGAGCCCATCCCCTTTTAAGAAGCTTGTATTTGCTATGATATTTTAGCAGCCTCTCCCAAGCGGTTTATTTATTTGCCGTTTCATTAGTATAGGATCTCCCTGACAACACGAAGGCTGTATAGGTTGTCGCAAATATGTTTGAAAGCAATGTGCGGTTTACCTCGCGAAGGTCATCTTTCTTTAGAAGAGGAAGCACAAAATCGAAGTTTTCGTGATACAGGGTTCAGTACGAGGGCAATTAGGGAGAGAATCGTGAGGTCCCTCAATTCCGTTAAAAGATATTCGAAGGCTACAGAGCCCCACGAGGACAGCATGCTCGCACAAGCTAACCACGAACGACGACAGGAGAAAGCTTAGAACTTTTTCGGACAAAACCTCGTCGTTGAACAAAGAACGATCGGAGTTGGGTCTCTCGATGTCCAAAACTACTGAATTGAAAGCCGTGAAAAGGGGCAGCAGCATTGTCAGGGCAGCAAAGAAGAGGGCTCCGAGGCTTACCGACCACTACAGGAAGGCACGACTTGAATTTGCGAAGTTAATTTCTGGTTAAGCCTCCAAAATGGACTCCGACGACTTTGAGAAAGTATTACAATGGTATCTGGTGGCATTTCTGAGCCGACGACGTGGTCCTGATTACGCTTTTCAACAGGTTAGTGTTGCGAACCACGTTATTCGTTCCACTAAAGACTGGTTCCTTTCCCGAAATTTCGAAGTTCTGACATGGCCAGCTCGCAGCCCCGATCTGAACCTGGTGGAGAATCTGTGGCGCATCATTGTAAAAAAGACCTATGCGAACGACCGTCAGTTCCAGAGGATAGAAGAGCTCATGCAGGCAGCACTTAAAACTTGGAATAAAATTTTCGAGGCCTTTCGAGACCTTTCGAAAATGCCATGTTGGTTATGCGATATTGGGCTACAACAAGGAAGACTCATCGACTACTGAATGTTTTTTTGTCGTTACTAATGATAATTTTTTCGAAATTTCAAATGATCCTACACTTACGAAACGGCGCAAAATTCAAATATTATTTATAAATCTGTTCGCAGAAGTTGATTAAAAAAATGTTCGTGCATGAGGGTTATTCAGGGTGGCGAATCTGATAGTGGTGCCAAAAAGTTATCTGCTTACTGCTTATCCTGTAAACACCAAATTTGAGGGTGATCCTACACTTATGAAACGTACTGTAGCAGAGGATCAAAGAAGGGGGATGATCCACCTTGTCGGTAACAACGCCTTCTCACCACCTCTAGTTGTAAGGAGAGGAACTCATCGTTAAGT